GGCATCGTTGGGTTGCCGAGTTAGCTGACTTCAACTTGGAGATCAAGTACCGACCGGGTAGAGCCAATGGCGATGCAGACACCTTGTCCCGTATCCCACAGAGTGTCGAGCACCTGGAAAGTGTCCACACCGAGGCGGTATCCCCAGATGTGATGAAGGCAACCGGTCAAGGGATTACGGCTCAGTGTAATGGCCAGACAGCTTGGGCACATGCACTCTCCGTCCAAGACTCCACCACAGGAACAGTACAGACACCCATTCAGCAGTTCAGTAAGCAGGAAATCAAGTTGGCCCAAGAGGATGACCCTGGCATCAAAAGGGTAATACACTACAGGACCTTGGGAAGGTTGCCAACCCGCAAAGAACGGAAAGGTGAGGCACCGACAGTCATATCACTTCTACACGAGTGGGGAAAGCTCCAGGTAGACGGTGACGGAATCCTCTGGCGGAAGACTGGTGTGCGCACACAACTCGTCCTACCCCAGGAGTTCAAGCAACTGGTCTACACCGAGCTGCATGATCATGCCGGGCACCTTGGGCCAGAAAGAGTAATCCATCTTGCTCGGGAGCGGTTTTACTGGCCTCACATGGCAGCTGAGATCGAACACTACATCACAAAAGTGTGCCGATGCATTATCCAGAAGAAGCCAGCCAAACAAACCAGAGCGCCCCTTGTCAACATCACCACAACGCAACCTTTCGAGCTTGTCTCCATCGATTATGTCCACCTGGATCGGAGCAAGGGCGGGTTTGAGTACATCCTGGTGGTGGTGGATCATTTCACCAGATTCGCCCAAGCGTACCCAACTAAGAACAAAAGCGGGAAGACAGCAGCGGACATAATCTTCAATGATTTCATCCTGAAGTTCGGGTTCCCTAAGAGGCTTCACCACGACCAAGGGCGTGAGTTCGAGAACCATCTCTTTGCCAGGCTGCAAGAATACTCTGGCATAACGAATTCCCGCACGACACCATACCACCCCCAAGGAAACGGTCAAGTTGAACGCTTCAACAGGACCCTACTTGGGATGTTGAGGACCCTCCCTGAGACCCAGAAGAGCGACTGGAAGTCTGCAGTTAACAAGATGGTGCACGCTTACAACTGCACAAAACACGAGACCACCGAGTACTCGCCGTTTTACCTCTTGTACGATAGACATCCTCGCCTACCAATCGACCTGGCTTTTGGGTTTGAAAGACCAGAGGGACATGGGGTCACCAGCCGAGAATATTCCCAATGCTGGCAGAACGAGATGCGAGAAGCCTACAAGGTAGCAGCCCAAAATTCACACCAGAGAGGACAGCGCAGCAAGGCTTACTATGACCGGAGAGCACGGAGTACCATCCTAGCCCCAGGTGACCGAGTTCTTGTTAGGAATTTGGCAAGAGCTGAGGGCCCGTCCAAGCTCCGAGCGTACTGGGAAGACAGGATCTACCGAGTTGTCACCCAGAAGGGTGAAGACATCCCAGTCTATGAGGTCCAACCCGAGAGTGGTCAGGGCAGGAGCAAGGTACTGCACCGGAACTTACTGTTGCCATGCGACTTCATCAGTGGGGACAACAGTCAAGTTGGTACTCATACCTCACCCCAGCAATCTCAGCCTAGACAGCCCAAAGCTGCCCCCAGACAACTCAACAACACTCCACCTGATGAGAGCCAAGCCGTACATCCGCCACCTGCAGAGAGTGAGGATGAGGACGATGATCTACCAGTCATTGTAATCCACCCTTCTAAAGTCATCTATGCAGAAGGAGCGACAACAGAGTACCCTCAAGCTGTCTCAACAGTCCCCCCAGCGGATGCAGCACTTTCGGAACACGGGGACTTGCAGTTTCCAGCCAATGATGCAGATGAGGATACAGATATGCTTCAGCCCCAGGAAGGAGTAGAAACAACTACATCAGCTGTGCCATCTGCCCAACCTACTACAACGTCAGCCATGACAGAGGTAGGACCATCTCCAATACTGGATAGTATGGAACATCAAGTGAGTGGCATAACCCAAGATGCAGGTGATGAGGAGATTCATCGACCCCTTCGCGACAGACACCCTCCAACGGTGTTAACTTATGACAGGCTTGGGACACCATCTTTTCAACCAACCATGCTGAATTCAGTGGCAGTACCAATGGCTCATCAGTACCCCCAGCAGCCAGTTGCACAATGCCGTCACAACAGCAGTTCTTTCATCCATTCTATCCTGGACAACCCTTTTGGCAGCATCCAGTGCAGGGGCCTTACCAGCCATGGACTCCTTCACCTTACTGGATGGAGCCTGGGCAAGTGAGACCATAAGCTGTAGTATAGTGACCATCAATGCGGAGACATGGTGTGGCAAGACAGATGACGAGAGATAGTAATCGTGTTGCACAATGAGCGGAAGGAGAGTCAGCAAGGACCAGGAGTACTCTCTTCAGAAGATGAGCATGCACATGAATACCAAGTTCGCACTACAACCCAACAATGTTGAGATACCAGTCCATTTACCTGATTGGTCTGTGAGACCTAGGACGAGATATCCATGGAGATTGGATCCCCTCCACTGGATCTCATCCCAGCACCAGAGGAGCTACTGGGAAAACTCATCTGGATGGCAGGACGTTCCTGCGCGAATGGACTGTAGTTCCCATGACTGTAGTGCGCTGTCCACCATGATACTGTTCGGAAACAGGATTCTCCAAAGAACTGTATATAGATCAATGTTTGACCGATAAAATGTCGTGACGACATTTCTTTTTTGGAGGGGAGTGTTGTAGAACCCCTCTGTAGTAAAACCCCTCCAGAGTGAAGTTTTTGTAGAAAGTAACACCCCCATAAAAAATTGGAATTGGCCAAAGACAACACAGAGTGCATGTGAGTGTGCCTGGTCACTTTCACATATTTTGGCAAAGTGACCAGACGTACTTACAACAGTGTTCTATTTTGTCTTTGCCCAATAGGTATGTACAAATGTTTCTTTCTTTTTATTCACATCTAGGTTCCTTTATTTCTGTTGTTCACATTTTCATTTACTTGGAGTATACAATCAATGACTTGAGTTGATCAATTGGTTGAAGGTAATTTGTTCTTTGAATTTGTCAACTTTACTCTTTTGCCAAGTTATCTAGAGATTGACAAGATTGAAGTTTGTTTTATGATGCTTAGATATTTTCATTATTGTTTGTATATTCACTTTTATGTAACTTTGGATGAGATTTAAGATGATATAAGTTTGATTAGTTTTTAGCAACTGAACTTTAGTTATTCACTTCAGTTATTCATGGAAAGTTTCACTAAGTTTCCTGGATTTGAGGAAAGTTTGGTGAAAGTTTGTGAAGTTGATAACTTGGATTTCATTTATTTAAGAAACTGGACCATGTATGTTTTATAGTAAACTGTGCTAGTAGATTATGACATTGAATGTAAGTTTCACCATTTAGCCAAGGAAACTTCCATTGCAAGCACTGAGTGTATATAGATAAGCTGAAGCATGGCCTTGCCACGTTGTGGAGAGTGAATACTAATTAGGCTAGCTAGAACAATGACTTGCTTGTGTGTGTAGTATGGAAAGACCACCTGTCACACAGTAAGGGTAGCACTGGGGGAGCAGTAGCATGCCCCAGGCCATTGACTTGGCTGGAGTTGAGCCATACAGTGGAAAGTCTGTTGCTATAGCAACAAGGGTGCTGGCCAGCCTGAGTAATGTGTTTATCTTTAAGACATGGCAGATAAGAGTTCTGGTAGTCGTAGCCATGAGATTATTAAGTTAAGTTTCCCCTATAGGTTAGATAGTACATGTAGTTGGCCATTAGTTTTAAAGTGATGGTTCTCCTAAAGTTTGATAGTTTTGGCCATACTGATTTAAAGTGTTGTTATTTAGGAAACTGACTTAACCTTTTTCTTGTACATTGTTTGTTTATTATGATGTTTGAATAAACACTTTCACATATTTTGGCAAAGTGACCAGACGTACTTACAACAGTGTTCTATTTTGTCTTTGCCCAATAGAAATAACGTTACCACATGACAGCTGGGTAACACTTGGTCAGGGCGTTTGTTGATAGTGTCTGTGATGGTATCTGACATGCGCTGGGCATGCGCTATGCACTGTATGAAGAACTACATGTATTGACGAATGCCTTGACCAAGGCTGGTTCATTCACGGCACAAGTAAAAGGCAACCTCGTCCCCAGTGCTTACTTTATTTCCAACCGCGTTTCCAATAGTAAACCCTGGATAGGAAACTTTCTTCAGGCTGTATCCTGATTGGATACCGCAATTGGCTAGTAATGGATTTTTATCGTGTACTTGGTGCTATATATTCACAACGTGCAGTACGTGTTTTCGCGATCATTGGTCCACGCCTTACTAATTTCCTTTCCAATTTGCTCATATTAATATGTAATATGATACTGCATGTTGTCTTGATAAGATCGTAACAGTTTGATTTCAAAAATCGTGTTTTCGTAACTCACGCCGTGCTCGCGCTGCGACGAATTGACTCTGTTTTTACCCCAGACACCGCATACAAAAACAAACGCTAATGTGTAACACATATCCAGGCACCAGACTGTTCCTCATTTGCATACGTGTGCAAAAATCTTGCACATGCAAATGATCCAATACCAGGGTGAGAGAGCAGGTAGTGGTGGGCCCGTACTGCTCGACACCCTGGGGACGAGGTTGAGTAAAAGGCTAGTCAAGAAGCGGCCTTAGTTTAGCCGTTGCCTTCAACAAACCTGTTTTGTTTCTGACCTTACACTACATGTATATGTTTTGATTTTTACACGTTGGACTGAATCAGTTTAATGAAAATGCTTTTATAGACCGCTTGCAGACGCGTTCGATAATTGACGCGCGAAGGAGTGCGACGCCATGTTGTGGAACAAAATGTGCATGGATAGATATACGCTTGTCCCACAACATGGCGTCGCGCGCCTTCGCGCGTCGATTATCGAACGCGTCTGCAAGCGGTCTATTGTAGTGTGACACTGAAAAATGTGACCCGACAAGGATGGTGTACATTTACTGTGACTGGTTCATTTAATGGTGAACTGCATCTTACACAAACAAAACCCTGAATAGATACAAAATAGAATTTCCATATAAATACAATGCTTTAGGAAATACCAATCCAGCAAAGTAAATTATAAAAAGAACAAATAACTAGAGATCTATGTCTGTTTGCAACAGAACATAGGGCTTTTTCGCATTTTGATTTTTTTTTATCAATAATACGTCTCTGACTATGCATGAACATAAAATCTGTCAAAGTTAGCCGAAAATCGGCTAAAACGGTCACTATGATCAGGATTTGACCTCAGCAACACGTGCGCTGCAGGCTGACTGACATACGATGTATGTGCGTATGTACAACGTACGTGCATGTACATGTACATTGTGGACGTCCTGTGCATGTTTTGTCAAAGTTAGCCGAAAATCGGCTAAAACGGTCACCGTGGTCAGGATTTGACCTCAGCAACACGTGCGCTGCGGGCTGACTGATACGATGTATGTGCGTATGTACAACGTACGTGCATGTACATGTACATTGTGGACGTCCTGTGCATGTTTTAAAGCAGAGGTATTGTCAACCTAAAGTTTTAAGCGTGCGCAAGGCATGTTCGAGTTCGCTTATTGCCTCAAAGCTTTGAAATGTTTTAGACCTACCCTTAAATCGACAATTAAAGTATAAACTTATTTAAAAACTGCCATGGTTGATTTTTCAGGAATTTTCAAATGAAAAAGGGTCTTTTTATTATAACTTCCGGTTTGATGACGTCATCTGCCTAAAACTTCACACACGTCTTAAAGGGGTCAAGGTCACCATATACACCAATATTTAGGCGATTCCGACAAACTTTGCCACAGACATCTATTCAAAATACATTTTAAATTTTTTTCAACATGTCGCTAGAGGGCACTCGAAGATTGCATGACGTCATCGGTAAATGATTTGAAGAATACTATTGGCCAAGAGACTAACACCGTTAAAAGCAAGTTCATATCTATTACCACTTTCAAATAATAAGCCACTTCCGGTTTTGGCCTTTTTCGACCGGAAGCAAGGGTCACGTGATTTCACGCACACTGAATGAAATAAAGACCTTAACCTATTCTACCACTTGCCGGCAATAGAATGCTGCGGACGCGTACGGTTGATTTCTTATGCATTTTTGAATATTAAAAGTGTCACAGTTTAATTGCCTATAAATAAACACCGGCTGACGTCATCATGACGTCATCATTGAACAATGTTGTTTGAATTAGGGTCTTTGCTTGGACAAAGATTGGTGTAAATGAATTACTGGCAAAGAGTCAAATATGCCCTTTGAAAATTGACAATTTTTTCTTAATTTCTGTGTACAAAGTCTATGGGAAAAATGAAATATTCAAAAATCTATAATAAATTAGTCGATGACGTCACCATGACGTCAATCTTCTGGACACATCTTTGCTATAGGGACTATGCTTATGCAAACTTTGAATAATGTATGACAAAGTTTATTGCCAAAAGTGGAGGCCAGAAAAAACGTGCACAAAGTCTATGGCATTTGAAGTGGAACAAAAAGAAGAAGAAGAAGAAGAAGAAGAAGAAGAAAGAAAAAAAAAAACCAGAACAAAAACAAAGGCTTTTTCGCAAAATTGCGAAAAAGCCAATAATCCTCGGCCTTTGTGGGTGCCCAAAAAACGGAAGAGCTATGGTCTCCGAGTCAAATGGTGCTTGGATGAGCTATTGGTGCTCTGGGCCTTTGTGGTGCCCAAAATGTGAATATTGACAATAATAATAGTGTGCTACATGGATGATGGGTCGGCTGCCCAGATTTCGGTACCCGACATTTTTGGAATAAAAACCTTCTGGCTGAGGCGTAGACACACACATTTTCTGTGTTGTTTGTGATATTTAATTTGTCTGCTTATAATCAATTTTATCACTAAAGGATCAAATTATTTATAAGCAGCAAAATTTCCATTGATCTTCTCCTGTTGGTTATATTTTTTTGTGTTGTGCAAAATGTAGGCTAACTCCATGCACACACATCTCGATCACTGTGAATGCATTTCATACTGTACTTTCGTATGAAGAACTTTGTACATGAAACCCTATTGACAAATTTGTGACAAAAGTGAGATCCTGTAAACAGGAGAAGAGCCAATCAACAGCCACGAATTTTAACCAATTGCTGAGAAGGCTTGGAGGGGCAACCAACCAATAAGAATTCTTGTTCTGTGACACTTGGCAAGGCCTGGCTATGGGCCAATGAGACGTAGGGTTGGTTCTTTACATTCTAGAAGTAGAAAGTTTAGGCGGGATGGAAAAGTTGCTGGCCAGTCACTTTTGTCTCAGCCTCTGAACAAACAACTTGGATAGCAAATTTTACTTCACATTTTTAATTCTCCGCCACCTTCCCCTCCTCCTCCATGGCATTTTTTGAAGCGGATAAAACACCCCATGGTTCATTAATGATTTTTTACTCCTGCCATTACGATTTTGTAAATAATACTTAGGTTAAACAAAGCACAGTGTGCAACATTATGTAAATCATTTAATGAGTAGTTAGTATTTTATTGTTGCTGTCAACATGTCTTCCCCTGAGTCAGTACAACAGGGGAGGATGAACCGTTCTGTCTTCTGTAAGTTCAAACGAAGAAAGAACGGTGCATCAAAATCTTTTGTGGACTTGGCATACAATGTAATTGTACATAGAAACAATTTATCATAAGCTTTGTGGTGATATAAAGTTTACTGGCACTTTCTTAATAGATTTTCAGTTCGGCCTATCGTAAATAGGTCATTTATTGCATTGATGATTGAGCTGTGGTGCTCCGAGTCAAATGGTGCTTGGAGCTGCCCTTGGGCCTTTGTGGGTGCCCAAAAAACGGAAGAGCTATGGTCTCCGAGTCAAATGGTGCTTGGATGAGCTATTGGTGCTCTGGGCCTTTGTGGTGCCCAAAATGTGAATATTGACAATAATAATAGTGTGCTACATGGATGATGGGTCGGCTGCCCAGATTTCGGTACCCGACATTTTTGGAATAAAAACCTTCTGGCTGAGGCGTAGACACACACATTTTCTGTGTTGTTTGTGATTTTTAATTTGTCTGCTTATAACTTCGGAATTAATCAAAAAGTGTTCACAAAGTCTCAATAAAAAGAAACTTAGGAACTTTAACAATAAGAACAATTATTAAAACAATATAAATGAATTCTTACCCCAGTCGAGTCATCCACAAAATCTTGAGGCATTAACTAAAGTACATGTGTAGAAGGAAGCAGGACACTGTGTGTGGTGTTAACCAGTGATGTAGTGCCTTGATGCTGGGCCTTGGCCTTAAGGCTGCCTTAAGGCTGGATTTTAGGGCCTTGGCCTTGGCCTCGAGGCTTGAGGGCAAAAGCCTTGGCCTTGGCCTTGGCCTTGAGGGTTCAGGGCCTTGCAATTTTGAGTCAAGGCTCTTCAAGGCCCATAGATTTTTGCATTTTCCAGATAAATCTGTCCGAAATTTTGCTGTTACCATTTTAATCGTATTACCATGGAGGAGGGAAGCACCCTATAGATTTGTGTGTTGGGCACACTTCCACTTTTGTAGCATCACATTTTGTTACCATTGTAGTAGATTTGCTGCAAAAATATTCCGTACACTTGTGGGGCTAATGAGATGATCACTTTAATTGCATATAAATATGGAATAGATCTGATTGGTTGTATATGTCTCCCTGATAAGTGCTAAAGATTTGCATGTACCTGTTTTAGATAATGCTGGTATTTCTGACCATGTTGGGCCAGCAAATAAAAATTTCCCAAATCAGTTTCTTGGATCCCCCTTTTGTTACACTTGGGAGAATTGTGTGTCAATATAGAAGTAAATCATTATTTTGTTTAGTTAAACCATATTGAAGACTTGAACTTATACTTTAATAGATACAGTGCAGTCATAAAATGGTGTAGGCCTATGCGAGCATGTTGATTGCAATTAAAGAAATGTTGTTCTTCGTAACGAGCAATTCGTGATGATAAGGGCGAATCCAGGGGGGCCAAAAGGGGCCATGCCCCCCCCCCCCCAAAAAAAACGAAACCATTTGTTTTATGTGACGTCGTAATAAAGGCAGGCAATGAGTACACCACCATCTTTTCCTAAAAAAAACATCGGTTAAAATGGTCAGAAATTGCCTCAAATCGCACCACAGAGCATCTCGAATCCAAAAAAATTTCGGGGCCCTTAAGCGGGCCCCGAAACCCAAGCCGTAATTTTTTGACCCACTTTTTTGGGGGGACCAAAATTTCTGTGCCCCCCCCCCCAATTGTGTTCTGGATCCGCCCTTGCGTGATGATGTGTCACTCATGTGACTATAATTAGTTCTATATCAGTGGTCATTTAATAAAACAGGGCCTTGGCCTTGGCCTTGAGGGTTAAGCCTTGGCCTTAGCCTCGAGGCTTGAGGGTCAAAGCCTTGGCCTTGGCCTTGGCCTTGAGGGTCAAAGCCTTGGCCTTGGCCTTGGCCTTGAGGGTCAAAGCCCTTGCTCCAACACTGGTGTTAACAGTACCAGTGCTAGTGGTGGAATGACTCACTCAAGACAAAGGATAAGTGTGAGCTTTACCTTAAGGGTCAAGCGAGGGCGCTGCGCAGGAGAAATATGTAAATGAGCTGTCACAGTAGGTCACTCTCAATTATTCATTCCCCGCCCTCCCCCCCCCCAAAAAAAGGCACGCACAAATAAAGGGATAATATGAACATTAGCATTGAACTTAATGTCCATTTTAATGGAATAAATATGCGTTTGGCCGGTTTGAAACGTTTAAAACCAGCTGTGGTCTGGTTGCCAATAATGACCCGGCCGTTAAAAACAATTAGTCAACAAATCACAAATCAGTGTTAGTTCGTGAAAACGAAAATGTATGGATTGCACGCATCCGGTGCCACAATGTGCCGGCTGTTACTTTGTGAAAAACAAAAATAACGTGGTTCTGTTAAAAAAAAAAAAGCATGCGTGCTTGGCACCCATGCAGAACTGAGGATTACTTCGTGGTCACGGTGTCGGTAATGAATTGCCTACCTCACACTAAAATGCTGACCTGCAAATCCTGAACGTTGGCAGGGTTCATGAAGTGAATTTTATTGAGGAACATATTTTTTTATTTTTAAGAAACATCAAAGTTCACTGAACCTGCTATGATACATTATCAGCAACATTGTATTTATAAATTGAATTATCCATGCATGACTTGAATTGCTGGAAGAATTTTGAAAATGTTTACACAATCGAAATGAATTGTGTATATAGAGTTGATTTGTTAGGAAAATATGAAGGTTATGAAAGTAAATGACTTTTTGATGTTTAATGGATTACAATAGCCGCATCAGTTTGCTTAGCCTATACTGACACGTGTGTTATGCCCCAACTTCTCGTCGGTCCCAATATATGTTGGGACTGTCCCAACTTGCGTGATCCAGTTGGGCAGCAACATTTTTCCCATGATTTTGTCCAGCAAAACGATGACAAAAGTAAAGTTGGCCCTTGGAATGAGGATTGTCGGGATAGGGCCAAGATGCTTGCATGGTCCTACCGCCAGGACAGTAGGACCAAGGGCACACGCTCAGGCCGGGCCTGGGAGCTCAGAGGCAGATCAAACATGTCATCTTTTTGTAGCAACTTCCAGGAAAGCTGTGTCGAAAATGGCTCAGTTTGTCTGATGACACTGTGCAGCACATGGCCGTGGATGTGCTCATCACTGGCACCTACGCTCGTTGGTAAATGGCGCCCTCTAACATCCATGTATGAGTAGCAGTGCCCAACCCAAGTCAGGCCTGCCCATGCTGCAACTTGAATGATCTAGTTTGGCTCAAGTTGGGACAGTCTCAACACAAGCTGGGTCCGATGACCAAGTTGGGGTATAACACATGTAGGAGGATTCTTGAAATCATTTTGTGGTCTAATTTCTTGTTTGCAAATCGACAAAAGTGTGAAAAGTGAGGACCAACATTATCTTTCTTGTTTGATAAGCTGTATGATAATACACAATGGAAACATTTCCATATCTTTTGTTCATTTCTTCTGGAATCTTACATCTTATTTTCCTGTGGATTTGTTGTTTTTCATCATTCCAGCTAGCCCAGGTTGGACGAAGTCCCTCCGTTACGTAGGGAGGAAAGGGAGTCCACCTGGGCTACATTCCAGCATGTGACCCACCTGGAGGTCCTGTTGGAGGTCAAACAAAGGTCACCCTGCGAAACGAACACTGGCGATACATTGTTACATGGTGAGTACCATCAATCACGGCATTATTTGAAGTAATGAATTTGAAGTACAATGTATAAGTGAAATTGATTTAAATTCTGAATAAGTTGACTCCCAGGGTTGTTCGATATCAGAATGTTTGATTATCGATGCACTTTATATATTGTTCAGTTAAAATAATTTTACAAGTTCTTGCAATACAATCACGTATCTGGCTGGTGCATGTCGCAAAAGAAGTTAAAACCTACATAAAAAATCGTTTATGTCCATTTCGTCTCAAAGAACATGCTTCTCAGCAACCTACTCACCACAGAAAAGACAACATTTCTGCCGTCTGTATGTCTACTTTCTGGTTTGTTACCTTCAAACTCAGTTTTCTGACGAGACTTGCAAGCTTTCCTTTGCCTAGGTGAAAGCATGCACCGTACCAGTACATGCAGGATGTATGGTTCCTGCCACTGTAAAGATAATAGCCAATGCTGAAAGAAGTAGGAGCAGTTTACAGCACTGAACATAAGTCAAATCTCTACATCATAAAAAGGTCACGCAAACATCTTTGGAAAACAGATCTGATACACCGTGCCCTCTGGAGACGTGTGCACAATAGGGAACAAAAGAATACGTCTCCACAAGGTTTTCACGAAATAGATATATGGATTTTACTCAAAAACTAGGAATTTCCAAGGTGGGTTGATCTGTCGCAAACGGAAGAGTTTTAGAAAAGGGATATTAAGTCCAAATTTCAGCCAAGGAAATTAATTCTGGTTAAAATAAGAGCATTTTGAAACTTCACTTTCAAACTCGAAAACCTTACTACTTGAGAACAAAGCCGTCTCCACAAGGATACACATTTCAGTATGGGTGTTTTTGTGTGTTGATGCACAAAGCTTGATTTCACTTTTCTGGGTTTGTCTTGTCTGGTGCTGTCTTTACAAATCCTGGCCTGCCTACACCATTTTAAAACAGCAAGTAATCTGAAGCGGGGGAATGTTTACTCTTGGCCTACCGGTAGTCAACAATGTTATGAAAAGTTATCAAATATGTTAAATTGTACGTACACCAAATTGATGAGTTCACATGGTTCACATAGAGACACATGCACACATCTTGCGTTGCACTGCACATGATCTCTTCACAAGCTACACATGCTCAGCTCAGCCCAGTTATGCCTCTTTGGACCACATGGCACGAGGGGTGTCAGTCATTGGGACATTTGCTTACTGTTTGTAACATTTAACATTTGTGTGAGGCATTCTGGCAAAATGCAACGGAACTGGGCACAGTTGTAATCCCTTATATGTCTGCTACACAGATATTAAAGAAATAGTATAAATATTGTGGAATAGCAGTGTAAAGAAACCAACACAAATTGGCACGATTTATTATCACGAATACAAACTTGAAACTTTAAAGGCCTTTTTTAAGTATTTTACTTTTTTGAGAAATGTGAACTTTGTCGAGAAATGTGAACTTTAAACAGTCATAACTTGTCAATGGAATATCCGATTGGAGTGCAGCAAACAATATTGTAAGCAGAATTGTATTCTCTTCTTACTGCCCACAAACCCTCATTTCGACCTCTGCCCAGTTCTGTCTCATTTTGCCACAATGCCTTACATTGACGTATCACAATAATACTTGCTTAAACTACGCTTTTGGTCCATGCAAGAATTGTACAGCTCCCCCCCCCCCCCTAATTTTTTTTTTTTTAATTGGACTTTCCACACAATCAAAATGGCGGTGCCTTTTGAACTGAATAAGTTGATGTTGCAATAAACACATATTTTGACATCACAAATTACTAAAAGTAATTAGTTTAAATAACCTTGCCATGTCAAGGAAGCTCTTTTGTATGTAATTAATTTTTGTGAACAAAGTTATTCCCACTTTGTCGTTTGTTGACACAAAGCTTCATTCAGCAGCCCAACCACACTCCCTTACACAGAGACACTTTTGTTTTTAATACAGTGAAATCTCCAAGTCAAAACCTGTCAACCCAAAAACCCTTCTAACTCAAGCAAAAATTTATTCCTGTCAATTGTTGTTGAATAGAAAA